GAAACAAGACATATCATTCAGACCAGTAATGTTAATAAATGTATTGCCATTGCTTGAATTACAAAGTTGTAATATTTCAGTATTAATGTACTCGTCATCATATGCCATCAAACAATTACCAGACAGTAAGACATGATACCCTATCTCATATGTGACAATGGGATAGTCTGATGGAATATAACTAGGTACACTCCATGAGATAACAGCCCATGTAGTGTCCATGATACTGGATATTGAACCGACTGGACCAGGTACTATAAATAAAGACACATTTTCACAGAACTGATGTAGTATAATAATTACATACCTATTCCAATCTCTACTGCAATAGGATCACTCAAAGGACCTTTTCCAATAGAATTGACAGCAGCTACACTGAAGTTATACTCAGTACCAAATACTAGACCATTCAATATAATATATCTCCCAGTACTGGTGAGGTTGTATGTGATACTACTGTTACTGATCATCACTATATAGCCTGTGATTAGACCATTACGTTTAGAGCAATTGACTTCATTCCAAGTGAGATTATTACCTGGTTGTACAAGTGAGAGAGAATTAGCTACACCAGTAGGAGCTATAAAAACAACTGCTGATGTTAATGCCAATAAAACTACGTACATACCTTTTGAAAAATTTGTCTTTCCTTTAATTAAACTATTGCCAGATTCTCCCAGTACATTACCAGCTCTCACTGTGGCAGTATAATTCATACCACTGTATAAACCTATTAATGCATAACTGTATGTTGTAGTGGACTGATGAGGAGCAACAGAGACTGTCTCATTCACTGACAATAACTGGGGACAAGATGGAGTGTAGGAGATGGTGTAGTATGTTACATAGTTGTCACTACTGGGAATAGTCCAGTTCACTGTAATACCAGTGGTTGAGACATTAGATACTGAGAGACTAGTTACTGGACTAGGAACTAGAACATAAATCAAGTACACTTTCTCAATGATAATAACTCACCATCAAATCTTAATACTGTTACTGTACCATTAACTGAAGGAAGGTCTATATATGAGTACACACTGATGGCATAGGTACTCATTGGTGAGAGATCTGTTAGTACAATTTCATCTTCGCTGGTAGATACTGCATTCCTGGTTACACCTCCAGTAGTATACTCAATCACATATCCATTAGCCTCTGATGAATTGGTCCAGTTCACTTTGATGCTATTAGCATTTAATATAAACCCTCGCACATTATTTGGAGGACCAATAGGAGCTAAAAAAGAGACAAAGGTATCTACTATTGATTAAAGTATAATCATACCATCATACCATGTAATATCACAAATTGACTGTAGTTGACTCCTCCAATTATTGCTATACAGGTACCATTAACTGACACTCCTAGTGGATCAGGATATACCAGTAGTGTGTTATTGTATGTCAGAACATCAATTGATGTATACATTGAGTTACTCTTCATCACTCCATTCACTAACCAGTAAACATCAGTTGAAGGATTTATATCAGTAGTTATGAGGCAGTCAATACGATATTCAGTGTTATTGAGTTGTGTAATGGATGAGACTAGTGTCCAATCAA